CCGAGATACAAAACGATTCAACAAAATTAAATTACGAAACCTAATTCCAGCTTTGACACTGTAAACGAACACTGAAGGCACTCACTTACGAAATAATAGATTATGGAAAACATAGGTATCTTAATTCTGCGAAGCCATCAAGACTTTCATCTCGAAAGTTGAGTCTGTCCACAATTGTACCTTTTTAATCGCCAAAACAACAATCACGTCACCAAACCCTGCATGAAATTTAAAACAAAGAATTTCTCTGGTAACAAGTACTCGCCACATTACGCATGACATAGGTCATGGATGACGGAAAGAATACTTTACTTGGTATCAGAACGGAAATGACACTGAAATAAATATAAAGGTAGTAAACACTTTCAGTTTCATTTAAAAAGGTTTCTTCAATATTATAAATTACTCTGATTTGTAGAACTGCTTCATACTGTAAAGCTCAATTTCATATATTTCCCAGAAATAAGCAAAATGAATACAACAACACAGATCCAGAAAAAAGAAATAATTCGATCCAATACAATTATATATGATAGTTTCTGAAATATGCTAACATAACATTTGACCAGAAATATATGGTAAAATCTTTCACAGTTGAAGTACGAATATTCTGCACCAAATTTAGGAAAATTCTTAGGCATCACAATCTTTTCACAATTATTTTTCTTATAAACATCCAATTTAACCACTTATTAAGCAGACATCAATATCAGGAGGCTGTATAACACAATGACTGCAATAGTTAAATTATATCAATTCATAGAACATTAACTGCAACTACAGAATTATCACTTTAGCAGGTTTATACATTTTTCTATTTTGTAGCAATCAAAGAATACCTGAAGATGCAAATAAGTTTATAACGAAATAAATAAGGAAAAAACATAGGATAAAGTAGTTGACAAAATATTAAAAATGAGGATGTCACAAAGCACCTAAAGCAACATGAGTGCAGTATTAGAAAAAAGTCAGCAACAACATATTTAGAATTTCATTTTAGACGGGATTCGTAACATTCCGCTTTCTGTACATTTAAAAAATACATGAGATTTCTGATGGAGAAATGACTTGTCTCAACTATCTTTGAGAAACTTGAAAATATACATAGTTTTTACACCTCGCTATCCTCATCATCCTTCTCTTCAGTCGCAATGTCTTTGGCACTAACACATTTTTGCTTTTGCTGCTCATTGTCATTTGTATTACTACTTTCACTCTCAGCTTCCAAACGTGCCTCTTCTTCGGCTTCGAATTTTTCTAGAGCAGCTCGCTGCTCTTGATCCAAAAACTTCGGTTCAATAATGTGAGAAGCGAGATCTTTCATTAAACCAAAAGCGAGAAAACGTCTCTTGAAAATTTTCATAAGAGGTTCATTTGGTAATACATATCTTTTATCCTGAAAAAAAAAACACTCAATTTATTCTACAAAAAGGATGTACCATAAATCGGCAGTGATGGTACAAAATTTACCAAAATTTAAAATAATCTACAGAGTTTTCATTAAGTAAGACATTACAGGTTTCAAGAGGAAAATGACTATTCTTCACACAAAGTTATGACCTACTTTTGGATCAAGTAAATTGTTGCTTCGAAAATAAGCCCACATTGCTTTGATTACGTCGCAACGTCGCATATACTGTTTGCCACATACTGCAGCTAAGTCATCTGTTAATGCGCAGTAAACATTATATGGACCCTATAAATAGTAAGAAAGAAATAAAAAATATTCTCATAAATAAATCATTTTAACTGACCTATGACTACAGATGAATGTTTTCAAAACGTCCACTTGAATACATCTCATAAAGTCCGAATGTCTGAATTTAAAGAGTTGAATCACGACTGATTCATTACACTGAGAAAAAATATAAGAGAAGTTAGTAAATCTCAAACCTTCCTTCGTCCTGATTTCGATTTACCCTCACCACTTCCTTTACTTTTTTTACGAGTACATTGTTTAGCTGCTACCGCCGCTCTTCGTCTTTTCTGTCCCACTTCTAGTAATTGAGCATCTGATTCTGAGTCCTTCCGTTTTCTTGCTTCCTTAAAATTGAGTCTACAGCCTTAATCCTTATTTTAGAGAATCATATTTCATAACACTAATATAGGTATAAACAGTACAAACAAAAAACCTTAATCTTTTTTTTTGGGGTGGGATCTGTAAATACAATTCCGTCCTCAGACTCTGAATCTGAATTACAGGACTTTGAACTGCTGTTGGCCTTTCTCTTCACTTTTTCATCGTTGTTTCTTTTAATCACCTTGAATATTAAACAAATAAAACATATGTAGCAATTTCTTCGCCACAATAACATTAACTTCTAAGATTGCACATTTCTTAAAAATCTCCTTGATAACTGACATCCATTGTTATTTCATCGATGGCTGCTTTATGAGCAGAAAAGTCAGAACCAAAAGTATGCTTCAAGTTCTCTCGTATTATTCGACTTGTTAATTTATCCATTCCTATAACAAATGACTGAAATAACTGCTGAAAAAGTGAATTTACTTTACGGATATACAAAAACAGGAAATACACAGCTAGTTGGCAAAAAACTAGCTTCTACTGAAAACTGTACATACACAGTGACAGATGTAATTAACATACCAAATTGCTGTATTTGTCTGGCGATCTCATCTCTTATGAGATGTACTTCCACTGGTAGAATTGAACTGCCTTTCAGAACATCCATCTTTTAAAAGTACTGCAATCCAACAATACTTTATGCAAAGACAAAACACCGTTGTATGTCATCTATCACGTATGTACATAATATTCATATTTATTGAGGACAAGTTGCTATTTTGAAATTAGTCAAAATGCAAAATCTTCTCTGAAGCAAAACATGTTCTCAGTTGAGTCTCACTAACTACACTGAATTGCTGCAATTATATAAGTTCCTTAAAATTTGGAAGGTACCACATTATAGTGCACAAAATACAGGTCAACTAATGTTTCAACAATCATAACCTCCTGCTCACACAAATAACGTAATCACCCGAAATAAACCCCACATTAATCAAGCATAGTACACTCACTCCCGCCTCACTCCAATAAGCTGAATTGGCATCGTTATGAAACTTGATGTTCTTTTACAGCTGAATATTTGCTCGAAGACAAATTAACACAACTTGAACTTTAGTAAAGTAATAATAGTCCCGCGTGCGCCAGATTTGTTTAATTCATGATTAGCAGGCGTTTGTTTTGAAATATGCAAAGATTCATTCTCTAAGAATGTGCAGAGGGTAAGTAAATGTGTCTATCAAATAGTTCTTGCAGAAGAAAGATTTGTAAACTACCCAACTGCAGTCAGTGAAGCTAATTCCAGTTTTAATAATTGTATATCTTGCATAGGATACAACACATGAAGCAAATAGAACTCTTCTTGTATACTTTTTCATTTTAATTTGCGAAAAAATAGTATTTCTGCAGCAGAATGGCAAGATGTATTAAACGGCATGCTGCAAATGCTATTCTGCAGATGCTTCTAATGCAAAAACATCGTAAATTTTACAACCTCAGGTTCTTGGATAATCTTATTTGATCTGAATAAGTATCCGTGAGAAATGAACGAACATTAATTACCGAAAACAAAAGTGCAAAACATGAAGCTTACATAATTACACAAGCATAAAAATTACTATCGAAAGCAATACGAGATCCGACAGTATTTAGATCAAACATATAATTTCATAAGTTCATCACCAACAGCTGCAGGCGTCAAAATCCCTAGATCCGTGAACAGAAGTTTGATATATTGTGGCGGCGTATAATCAACTAAGGGATGCTCACTTGAAAAGTCTTTATCAATTTCATGGTTTTTCAAGGTTGATGCTGCATACTGAAAGCTTTGAAAATTTTTAGAAGTGGTAAGTCATTATTTCTAAAGAAGACATCCAATGATGCCGTAAAAAAAACATCAACATAATTTTTTCTGAAACAGTCATACAGTGGATGTACAGAGAAATGTAATGGTAATAAATCTCCAAAAAAATAAGGAAAATTTTAGTAGAAAAGTAACTCAAACCTTAAATTCTATAGGTATATCGTTCTGAGTTAATGGATATTCCTTTACAAATTTGATGCTCTCAGCCATAACAAAGAATGGCTTTTTGCTTGCTTTTGCACATACGGCAATTGGATTTGTTCCAATTTTGTTTATTATGCCACCTGTTTCCATGACACCTTCCGCGCCAACTATTACTAAATCGACTGTTTCCATAATGTACCTACAACAAACATAATAACTGCCCACTGTAAATATAACCTACTTACGTCGTAATTAGAATCATAAACTGAACATTCACTCCTTTCAACACATTGTATTGACTCTCAAATCAAATTAAAAAACCAAAAAAAAAGAAATAAAGAGGTTTTCATAATTCAGATCTAAGATATCAACATTAGCATCGATCTCAAGCTATTAAAAAAAAGATTATGAATGAATGGATTCAAATTTGTCAAGATTAACACCACTCGTTATCACTAGCAAAACATACCCAACTGCAGAGTCTAATATCAGTGTACACTGGATTCCACACTCCTTCAGCGCTTTAACCATGGCATAACCTAAAAGTAAACAACACAGAACTGACATAAATTATTGCAAAATATACAATTTCACCATAATTAGTTTGAAGTAAAAACACTGAAATAAAAATAAGACATGTATAGGAAATTTTGAAAAAGCACCTGCTTGGTTTGGACAAGATTCAGTAACAAAAATGTGTGCATCTATACCGTCTTTTTTAGCACACATCAATACTGCCAGAACAGTCTTACTGAAGGCATGGGTTAGTATGTGCTGAAAAATTTACGATTCAGTTTTGCAAATATAAAATTAAATAGAGATAAAATGAAGGATCTCTTAAATGAATGAAACGGGGTAAGATTTTCTGCTTAATTCAAAACTGGAAATGAAAGTAAAATCTAAATAAAAATAATGCACAAAAAGTAATCAATGAATGCACACTTTTTTATTTTCAATAAAAGGTTTAGCAGAGCGTGCTATTAGCATTTTACTCATTCCCACTTGTTTGATAAACATAATCCCACGCTCTTTGTACTTGTTTATTAGAAAAGAAAACTCCTGTATATTTTCTTCATATGTAGCAAGCGATATAAACCTAAAAAACTTTTAAAGTATGAAAAACTAAGAAGTATTCACAGCGATATCCTTAATTCCAAATCATATTTGCTTCTCAAAAAGAAATCTTGAAAAGATCATCACCAGTGGTATGTATTTAGCTGCATAATTTATCAATTTCCGAAATTTTTTTTTTATAAAATAAGGACAAATTACAGATGAATTTGGAAAAATAGTTTTAAAAAAATACCTTAAAAATAATTCGCTAGCACTCTTAATTGATGCAATACTGTGGTCAGTGGATGACATGGAAGTTACTGCTCGTTTCAGCTCATCTGTTAATTCATTTACTGTTGTTGCTGAAATCCAAAATTACTACCACGATTGTCACTAGTTTAATATTACAAAATTGTTTTTCTTGATGGAATTTATTACTTTGTTATTAAATACAAATAAGATTAATAGTCAAATTAAATAAGGAAATGAATAAATAAATAACTCAAATATATACGTACGTTGGGCAAGCGAAAATGAATTAATGAGTAATAATTCTTAATAAATGAAGAGTAGAGAAACTATTATTGCGTTGGTCGTCGTTTACTAAGAGCCATTAAACAGTTATGAATCGAGTGACTGCCATTAATAATTTAAAACTGCATTTATATACATATATATTAAAATAACAGACCCTTTGACGTCTCAATGCACCTCATTAATGTTTCAATAGCTGCTTGCCCTGTTGATTTCTGATCTACGTCATTATTTAACAAATCTTCAAAATATTTTGCGACGCTTATTTTCATCTTTATCTATTCTGAAACTAATGATAACGTTCATTATAATTGACATTATTAATAATTTTAACTGCTGGCTTGATATCTCCTTCCCAATTAATTACTGTGAACTGAACTTTATTTAAAATCCCGATCAAATGATCTCAAAAAAGAGATAAATATCTCTTTAATAAGAGGCAATAACTGGAAATAATCAGAAACAAGAAAAGTATGAGACATAATTATAGAAACTGATGCCGCAGTCTCACAAACTTTTTTAAACCTTTTTATCACCTGATAAATTTCATTAGTAGACTTCATGCAATTCCCTGCATTAATTTTAGAATCATAATTTTACAATGAGCATGACATAAAGCACTTCCAAACATATATAAAGGAATGATCAGCACATGCAAAAGATAACATTATTCATCACATAAATTGAAGAACCCTGCAATATTACATGGAATGAGTCTACAACTGAATGATACATTTTACCAACAACAAATTAGCAACCACTCATATGAATCCATTTTTGACACTCAATATGAACTTTAAATATCCATGGTTCTATTAATTTAAATCCCACAGCATGATGTCTCTTGAATTTCTGCAATATATTCCACAGTTTTGAGAAACGAAATATGTACATATTGAACATCTTTAGGAAACAGTATGAGTTTTACTTTCTGTTGGGGTCCAAAACAAATTCAGCAACAATGAGTGATGAGCAACGAGTACAAGAATTTTTGAAATTTCGCTTACTATCATGAATAACTTTCAAAAAATAATCCCATTTCTTTACCGGCTGAAAATATCATTCATTTGAATCAGGCAGCAGTTAAAAGAAATAATTACTAATTCTTTCCCAAAATAGTTTGTGAGAGAAAAACTTTTGGAACATGAAGAAATTTTGGTTTGTATTAATGTGCTTCGTTAATTCACACAAATATTATTAAGTGAATTTTGTGACTTTTAGAGTAAGGCAGTGAAGTAATATTGAGAAAGACTGGTTAAAGAAGGAATCGAGAAAGAATTACACTAATTTCGATCAAAAAGCATGTTTTTGACCAAACTTACATCACGTAATTCAAAGCAAAATTGTGCTACTTAGCGAAAATAATCTACCTGGTAATTACTTGTGCACAGTGAAAGTTTTTCGAGAACTTTTAAGAGAGAATGGAAAACTGAAAGTGGTAAACCTTGCAAAACATTTCTGATTGTTACGAATATCACTTTTCTTCTCTCAATACGAGATACTAAAACTGAATGAATGAAGAGATAAGAAGTACAAAAAGTTATATTTGGTTAGTACAGTAGTTCATGTTAAGAATAAAAACAAAGACGGAAACAACGATTCCATTTAGTCACTCGAAGAATGAATTCCTTAACCATAGCTAGCATTTATTAATCTAACGTAGTGACGATATGAAATGCTAATATACTATTTCTATACTATGACCATATCCAAGCTTAAAAATTCGACACTGCAATCTATTAACTGATGAAAAAAAGAAAAGAATAAGGAAATAAGATCATAAAGACACTAAAAATATATTCCCAATTTCAGACTTCCATTCCTTAGAGTACTTATACACATGGAATAAAAAAATTTAAATTTATCCCGAAAATTCCCAAAATCTTAACTTTGTGCACTACTATACAACAAGATGGCCCCGCAGACAGTGACTGAACCAAGAATAAAAATGATGTTGGGCTTCATGTCATTAAATACCAGGTAAGAGACGATAACCACTAAAATGATGGACACTGCTGAGGCAAAACTTTTGCATAAATTGTCCAGATACTTCATCACCAATGAAATGAAAATCCCACCTGAAAAAACTTTCTCGTTCCATTTTTATATTCTAAACTAATTTCACATAAAACTGTTAACGACTGAAACTCAGTTTTTTTTTCAACTCTCCTAGTATTTACTGTAGCAACAGTGATCAGAATTCAATAATTTCAATAATTAAGGAGTACTAACAAAACCAACTGCACAATAATGATAACGAATTGTCTGACTTACCCAAACTTAAGGACAAAATAATAGCAATAACTTTCACATTGTATCCATAGAAAAATCCTCTCGAGGTTATCCTTTCCCATTCTGAAATAATACACCCTAGCGCTGCACTTATTGCACCACAGCTGTACATCTGAAGATTGCGTATCCAAAATGGAGTTTCACTCCCATCCTTAAGCATCCACTCAAAGTATACTCCTGAAATGAAAAATTACATATTTTAAAATTTTCAAGTACGACAGGAAAAAAACATAAATTACTGGCTAGAAATATACTAACCAGCAAAACCTGCTGTTATACACGTAAGTAATACAGCAACTATACCAACTACATAATTTTCCCCACTTTTGGTTTTACTTCCATCGTTAACACTGACCTATAAAACTGAATTCTTTGATCGATTTGAAGAAATGCAGTAGTGTCAATATTCATTTTTGCACTCAAAGCATACTTGAGAAAATTTCATAAAATTTTTTACCTCATACCATGAATAAAATGCTAGTCTTTAGAAAAAAAATAATGGAAGTGGAAGTGAAAAAAACAAAAAATATATTTCAGTAATTATATTTCTATTATTATAAAAACAAGATATTGTATACAATTGATAAATGTAAGAACAATACCTGAACAGCCGCTACACCGCCAAAAAGTAAAATTATGGCGAACCATCGCACACTTGAGTATCGCTTCTTCAGAACTATCATCATAAAAACAGCTGTAGAAACCACTTTGAGTTGAGTAGAAATATGATATACCCCAGCATCCAAATTAGATAGTGCAACAAAGTCAAGATTATTTTGTAGAGTATACGCTATCGATGGGAATGACATTTTCAATAAATCTTTTGGCTTTGTGAAATAGTGCTCATTTATGCACTGCAAAACACTATGAGCACAAGCTTCCTCTTTCATTATTTATCAATTTAATTTAGTTTTTATGTATAATAATAGTTAATTTTCTATAGTGAAAAAGGCACATCATCTATCTTCACCAAAAATCAGCAGAATTTTGAAAAAAGTTATTTAGCAAGGAATTGCGCTTTTAAAATACTTAAACTACACTATTTCAGCGGTAAATACATTTTAAATAAACTGACTTTGATAAATTTTTTGACACTAAAATCATTTATTTTTAAAATGAAACATAAACTGATGATCATTTTAATCATTTCCGAAGCATACACAACTGTAGTCGACGAATACTGCTGAAAAATATTACGACTATAAATATGCCATCAAAATCATTCTTAACAAAGATTTACAGTAAGAATAAAATCAACAAATCACACATATTTTTCTGAATCGACATAACAATAAGAATAAATTAAAAAAAATTTATTCATTAAGCTTAAGGCCCTAAATAATGTATATGAGTATTTAAATTCTTTTTTAATTTAGAAAATTCATATGAATTATATCAAAACAAATAATGACAAGAGTGTAAGAATTGGACGTTCCAATTCGTACACTCTCGTCATTATTTATTCCACACTCGGTTTGCTATTACATTGTTTTGGCAGAGAAAAATGAAGTCTTTCGAAAATAAATGAAAGTACTTACCAAGTACTCAGGTGTTCTTGACCGAGTATACCTAACAATTATAGTATAGCTGGACCAGATAATAATCATCTGAATGATAATGAAACATTTGAAAGCAAAACCACTCTGATGCTGCATACTCATCGTTTTTGATGATACCGAGGTATCACAGCTGCTGCTGTCCTTAACTGGCAGAAATGACTTCGAACTACTTGCATTTACCATCACTACGAAACAAGAGCAGTGAATTTT